GAATGGAGAGACACTGAATTGGGGAAGGAAACAGCATTCTGACAGGGCTACAAATCAGCTTAATAGTCCTTATGAAGCAAGAAACTGACTAGAGGTATGGCTCAGCGGTGGAGTACCTGTCTGGCAAGTAGGAGGCCCAGAGTTCAAACCTCAGTACTATCAATAAATACCATGAGTGAAGAAAAGACAGAGGGAAATATTCAGTTCTGATGTACGTATTCTCTGTATCCATTCCCAAAATAAAACTTAGTCATAATTTTATAAGGGAAAGGATAGATAAAATATGACAAATGAGGTGACAATGAATTAAGTAAAATGAGAAATGCAAATCTGAGATAAAATACTTCATGGTTTTAAATGTCCCTAACATGTGAAGCTAGGGTGAGGTATTTATATTTATTACTAGATATAGAAATTTATCTTCTTAGCCCTCTATTTCCTTAAAAGGATGTAAAACCAGCCACATGACAACTGCTTCTATTCACAAATGACAGTTGTTTCATATTTTGATTTCTAGTTTTTTTAGTCCCTAAATCACATTTTTTTCATGTTTCTTTTTGTTCTGCTCTTTTGACCTAGCCTGGAAAAATTTAAGAACATTTCTTTCTTTTTTATTTTTAATTTTCACTTGAAAAAAAATCTTTACCATTTTCTTTCCTAAACTCCAAGTACAAAATAATGGTATTTTCAAAATGCACGCAAAAAGAACAGTTTCATCTGCAACTGGACAGAGTCATAATTCAAGACAATTCAGTTTTCATCCTTTAAAAAAAATTAACACATTGTTTACCTTGGAAAGTATTCTTTGTCCTATGTAGGACTTGTAAATGTACAGACTGAAGACACTAGAGCCCAGGTCCAGGCATGGATATCCACTGCTGACAAGCAGAGCTTCTGACCACCACATCTAATTTCAGGCTAATTGAGTGCACAAACATATGCCCTATTGTTTGGGGATTCCAACTATGCCACCCCAGAGATGTGGAAAGTTGGGGGTAGTCTTTCAAAGCTGTTGGTTACTAATCCACAGTCTGTGTTCTTCTGTGCCAATTTCATGCTTATGAGCTATCTTGAACGTTTTGTTATTTAGTGAATACTTTTAAAATTAAAACTGGCAAGTTCACTCAATGGCCGTGTGACAGGTAAAAGCAATCTGCACCATGTCTAACTATTCACTACAGGAAGTTTTGGTCAATGCTAGACTGTGTGTATGATAGTAATCCAATGAGGTTATAATGGAATTGAAGAATTCCTATCAGCTCATGATGTCATAGCCTTGTAAAGTTGTGAATACACAACCTGCCTGTCTGGCTGTGCTGTTGTAGACAAACCTACTGTGCTGCCATTTGCATAAAAGTACTGTACATGAGGCTGGGAAGGTGGCTCAGTGGTAGAGCGCTTGCCTTGCATGCCTGAGGCCCTGGGTTCGATTCCTCAGCACCACATAAGCAAAAAGAAAAAAGCCAGAAGTGGAGCTGTGGCTCAAGTGGTAGAGTGCTAGCCTTGAGCTGAAATGCTGAGTGCCCAGGCCCAGAGTTCAGGCCCCACGACCGGACACACACACACACACACACACACACACACACACACAAAGTACTGTACATATAGCCCTGTGCACGATATACTATTTGACTATAAGGAAACATAACTGCTTTATGTATTTACTATACTTTTTATTGTTGGAGTGCCTACCTTCAAGTAAAATAATACTGACCTAAAACAATCTTATGTTTTACACTGTCAGCCACCTCATACAATCCCTGTTTACTAAGTCTCACGATGCATCACAAGACATAGCAAGAGACTGACTCGTGTCAGGTTGGTTGGTTTGGTTTGCTCAGTGACATCACTGCAATTGATGCATTTCTCAGAATGCGTCCTATCCCTGTTGTTAACTGATGCACAATTTTATTTATTTGTCACCTATGTAGTACAAGGCTACATTTGTATTCTTTTCAGGATCTTAATCCTGGACAATTAAGAAATAACTAATATCTGATTCCAGGAATGAGACATTGTGAAAATGAGAGACTGAAGTATCATCATCAACACTATGTGACAATGTATTTGCAATGCTTTCTGTAGAATTAAAAAATAAAATAACTTTCATTTTCAAGAAAAAAAACTGTTATATCTGAGGACTTAAAAAAATATTACTTTCTTTAAAGAGATTCTATTTTCCAGGGTGTAGTGGCTCATTCCTGTAACTCTAGCTGCTTGGGAAACAGAGATTAGAATTGTGGTTTGCGGCCAGCCTGGGGCAAAAAGTCCATGAGACTCTATCTCACACAATTAAAAAAACTGGGCTCAATGCCATATGCCATATGCCATATTTATACACATAAATAGGAAGATCATGGTCCAAACTAGCCCAAGCATGAATTCAAAAAATAACTACAGCAAAGAGGGCAGGGCCATGACTCATGTAGAAAAGCATAACTTGAGTACCTAGCAAGCAAGTGGCTCTGCTGTAAATATTAGTACTATGAGAGAGAGGGGGAAGGACAGAGAGAACCATAGTGATCATAGTGATGAACTAATTTGCTACAGGTCACAGTTAGTGACCAATAAGGAAAAAAATTGCATATCAGAAATCCTACTTCAAGACCACCATATTGAGTATCTACAGCTGTGACTGAGATACTACAACTCTAAATCCTACACCGGGACTGTTCAGCTATAAGGATGAAAATAAACAAATCATATAGGTCTTTCCTTAACAAGAATCAGTATCCCGAAAACAGTGTGTGTATGTGTGTGTGTGTGTGTTAAGGCTGGGCACAATGGCTCACACTTATAGTCCCAGCTACTGGAGAGGCTGTAGATAGGAGGATTACCTATTAGGCAAGAATGCCAGAAACCTATCTGAAAAACAACTAAAAGCAAAAAAAAAGGTTAAGGGTTAAGAGTGTTCTAGACTGGGTAGAGTCTGCTTAAGAACAGGGAGACCAATATAGCCAACACTTTCCATCTTCTATTTTTGTCTCAATGACATGCTACCAAATCAAAAAATAAAAACTCTTCAAAGGATGTTGGAAAACTGCAGAGCCTACACACAAGACAACTCAACCACCTGGGCCTTTCTGGAAAGTTTTGAAATAGGGACACCCAGATGCAAGTCCATTCTTCTGAGGAATTAATTCACCTGCGGAAGCCTCAGGACTTTGCATCCTACTGATTTTTTTCTCATCAAACACACAACAGAGACCTGAAAGTGTGAAGATTCCTGGATCAGAATCAGCGGGCCCAGCTCGGCACCATTTTGATAACAAGGAAAACAAAGGACTGCAAAGAGAATCAGGTTCTCTCCTGGCTCTAAATTCAGAGATTTTAGTTCATTGCAAGCATAGCCTATAATCTTTACATTTAGTAGCCATAAGTTCGATCTCTTAGAGGGGTTCTCTAGCTGAGGCTGCCACAGTTACCAGGCTATGTAAATGAATGGCCAACACTCAGAAAGGAATTACATAATGAAAGACCTATAATCCACCCAATGAAGTAAGGAGGTCAGGGCTCACTGGCACCATATTGGCCACATGGTGGATGGTAGGATCTGACATCTTGTCTTCATGCTGGGGAGGGAAATGTCCGCCCCGCCCCCCCAACCATCACCTGCCTCCCAGGTGATGGGCGTGCCCGGAACCCTGTAGTCAGGGGTGGCACTTGGCTGATAGGTTACTGAACCTGCCAGTCCAGTGCCTGGGACTGGAAATTTCCTGTGGCCCTGCTCCCTGAGTTGACTCTATTTAGGCCCAGCCCAGCACAGGGGCCATTACACCATGCCACGTGTGTCTCCACGATCGTGTCCTGTCTCCTGTCTCTAGTCATCATGGCATCCCAATTCAGCTCTCCATCGGAGCTGAATTGTCTTGTTGGTGGTGTTTTTGTTCTTCCTTTCTCTCTAGTCTGTTTCCTCACCATGTTGAGTGTATTTTGGAGCTTCAGGCCTTTGTAACAACAGGCGGCCTACAGCCTGCTAAATGTATAATAAAGACTCCAATATTTCATATTCCAAGATGTGGCTTCTGGGGTGATTCACCTTACAACAACTACAAGCAATACTAACAGATATTATTATTATTATTTTCACTACTGGGGTTTGATCTCAAGGCCTCATACTTGGTAGGTTAGGGTGCCACCATGTAAGTCAAGGTTGTTTTTTGGTTTGATTTTTAGGTAGGGTCTCATGCTTTGTAGACAATAGTCTTAAACCATGATCTTCCTACTTCTGCCTCTTTTTTATTTGGTTGTTCGTGGGGCTTGAACTCTGGGCCTGGGCGCTGTCCCTCCACTCTTCAGCTCAAGGCTAGTGCTCTACCTCTTTGAGCCACAGAGCCACTTCCAGTTTTCTGAGTGGTTTATTGGAGATAAGAGTCTCACAGACTTTCGTGCCCAGGCTGGCTTTGAATCGGGATCCTCAGATATCAGCCTCCTGAGTAGCTAGGATTACAGGTGTGAGCCACAGGTACCCAGCTACACGTCTGCCTCTTAATTGGCTAAAATTTACAAGGGTGTGTGTACCCTATTAGAGTTGTTATTGAGACAGAGTCCCACTAACTTTTGTCTGTGTTGGAGTTGTGCTGAGATTCTATGTCTGACTCCTGAGTAGCTGGGTTTAAAGGTCTGGGCCACCATACCTGGCCCAGGGTTTTTTCTTAATGTTGTCACAATGCTGTGACACTGGAGAACATTGCTTATTAATAGACAGATAAATCTTATCTTTCTTTTACTCAGATCATTGGGAGGCATGGATGGAAAAAACCATGACAGTACATAATTTATTTTTCTCCATCCTACCATCAGTTTAAATGTTGGTTTTGACAAAATAAAAATTTTGCTTGTGGAATGTTTGCGTTCAATCCAAGATGGCCTTCAAGAATTCCTACTGGAAAGGGGGAGGGGAACAAGACAGGTTGAGCAGTCAACTGCAAGTTTGGTATGGGTGATCACCCAGGTGTCACCTAGCTGGGGCACAGAGCTGCAGGTGCAGGGCCACCTACCAGGAGCAGCTGCAGCAGCAGCACCAGCAGAAGCAGCAGGTGTTGTTGGGCCTCTGATTTCCAGGTGCTTGAGCCACAGCAGGCGTTCCTTCATTTTGTGATTGCTGCCTTTTGCGCATTTCAGCGGCTGCAGAACCCAACTGGCTGAAAGAAAGCAGGAGGCAAGGTATGAAAATATGGCCAGAAAGAAAAACCACCAATGTGAAGAGTGAATCAGTTCATGAAGGGAGGAGGGAGATGGTTGAAGAGACGGTAAAACCAGGAAGCTTTAGTAGTCAATCCAAAAATTCCTAGGCATTTTTTTTTTTCAGAAGAACTTTGGGGACAAAAATTCTACCTGCTGTGTGAAATTGTAATAACAATAACATCAATAATAATGTCACTTATTCCAAAATCACTGGCCAGGTAAACGTGGTAAGGTCTGAAAGTTTATTTGTGATTGGTTTCTCTTAAGTCACATCCTTTTGTGAGCATTTTACAAAATGGCAAGCTACCTAACAATTCTCCCCATGGTGTTCACAGTAAGGAGAACTGAGTCTGACAATGGCGGATGCCAAGTTTCTAAAGATAGTTATCTAGCTAGGGAGGTCAAGTCTGTGTTTGGGAATCTCTCAGCTCCTTCTGTTGCCCTGGGTCTCATTCCTAGCATTTTTGTCTCCTCCTCCAGGGGCCTACTCTCTGAAGTAGTGCTGCAGTTACTTCTCACTCCCTTAGGAGTCAGTGTTGGCAAGTCATCGCCTCCCTGCTTCCCTTCCGCCTTCTATCTTCTAAAACTGACTTCCATTTTGCAGAGAACTGGAGAAAATTAAGAAGTCACCAAAGTCAGTGGGGATTGCTTTGGTGGAATTTATATATCATGGCAGATGAAAATAAATACTAGGATAGAGAATGCTTGGTGATCAAACGAGCTTGTTTCTACAGAGTTGGTTCCAGTCTTTGGTTGTGCTGTGGATTTGTAAAATGTTTTGGTGGACTATTAAATGTAGCATGGACTCTTAGAAATAGAAATGCATTGTTATGGAATGAGGTTTTCATAAAAACCTCACACATATATACTTATATACTGTCATAAATGTATAAATCATATATATATATATACAGACATATATTGTCACACTTACACAATACTTATTACTATAATGTGTTTTGGGTCATTCTGCCATTGTGAGTTCATTCTTTTTACTTTTTTTGGGGGGGGGAGAGAGGGTACGGTCATGGGGCCTGAACTCTGGGCCCGGGCACTGTCCCTCAGCTCTTCAGCTCAAGGCTAGCGCTCTACCACGTGAGCCACAGCGCCACTTCTGGCTTTTTTCTTTTTTTTTCCTTTATGTGGTGCTGAGGAATCGAACCCAGGGTCTCATGCATGCAAGGCAAGCGCTCTACCACTGAGCCACCTTCCCAGCCCCAAGTTCATTCTTAAAAGCTATATATTTGGTATGTATTAGTACAGGGGCTTGAATTCAGGTCAGGGAACTCTCTTTTAGCATTTTTTGCTCATGGATGGCACTCTACCCTTTGGGCCACTCCTCTGCTTCCGGATTTTTGTTAGTTAATTGGAGATAAAAGTTTTGTGAACTTTTCTCCCCAGGCCAGCTTAGAACTGTGATCCTCACATCTCAGCCTCCTGAATAGTAAGGGTTACAAAAGCATGAGCCACCTGTGCCTGGTTGCAATGATAGATCATTAAAAAAAAATACTGTGTTTTTTAAATCAAAACCCACATCTCTTCAGAAACTAAACAGAAAAACTCAGTGAAAGAAGGCACATAGGGGTGAAAACCATGGTCACTTGGAAATTCATATACCAGAGGCAGAAGGGAGGTGTGAAATCTTTCACCATGAATGGTGTGAGAGCAGACTCTAGGCGACCTGGGATGGAATAAGGTCTGTGACTCTGACACTCTTCCAAAGGTGCCCGAGGAAGAGCTCTCACCGTTCAGCATTGCCTAGCTTCAGGAGGGGAAGGGAGAGAGCTCAAAGCCCACACTAAGGGGTGTGGCTCAGGGATTGGTCCAGGAACATCTCCAAGCCATTTGTAGATGGCAGGAATCCCAAGACCCCAAGGAAAAAGCTACTTCAGAACCAGGTTCTGAGAGACAAGTGGAGAAAACCCAAATCGTCGCATAGGAACAGTGAAAAGGGAGAGAGAGACCTCATTTAATGTGTTTGTCTGAAAGCAAAGAAAACCCCAAGTCACAGTAAAGAATAAAAAGCCAAGGATTTGGAGCTGATGCACTGCTGATCAAATACCACTAACAGAATCATCTGAAATTAGTTTAACATATATTTAAGTTAAACGATGTGATAAACTATTCATATGGGGAAATAAATGATGATAAACCAAAATAAAGCAAATGTGAAGTGATATAATGGAAGCAGAAAACCAACAGCATGTAATCATTCAAAAGACTGACACAGACTACTCTGTTCCTAAAGCGACCCCAAAGAGAGCAACCAAGCGATGGTACCCAGACTGCACAGGGCAGTCAATGCCCAGAGTGCAGGCGAGTCAGCTCAAAGGAGGAAAGCCACAAGCACCCAGAGGCAGAGCAGAAGCTCAGCGTCCAAGCATCAAGATTCTCATTAGGAGAGAATTCACGGATTTGTCAGGGAAGTGATATTTTAAGCAAAGTTGCCCGAGAACTTCAAAACATTGGAACAAAACAAAAAGAGGTTCATTCAAAGAGCATACCACATGTTAAGTAGAATAAATAAAATAAAAATAAATCCACACCTTATTGTGAAACCAGAAATCTACAAGATAAAAAGGGAGGAAAAAAAAGAGAAAGAAACCAGAGAATGGATCTCACCCAGAGAAGTAATCTGTCTGCAGACTTTTCATGTGTGATCGTAGACACCCAGGACAAGAAGAAAAAGGATAATGTGCAGAGAAAGAACGACAGTCATCCTACAATATTCTACTCAATGAAATGAAAATGCAAGAATGAACATTACTCTGATAAATGAACTGAACGTCTTCAGTTGTTGATGGCATCTGCTTCAAACAGACTTAAAGAAAATTAGCGGGAAGGATTTAGAATATGTTAACAATTAAGTCCTAAAATTGATACAACCTGACACTCAACGGTGGACTCAAATCCCCAAGCTCCTGTAGTAAATTGAAGACTGCATAAATTAGGGAGACAGGTCGGGGGGCGGGGGGGGGGCACTATCCCTCCACTGAAAGTGATTTGTCAAAAATGTCTCCATATTCCTAAATCCAAGAGTCATTCTGCCATCTTCTGCTGGGTTACTAGAATCTGAACATGTTCTCTCCTCATCAAGACTCACGGTGAGGCTCGATTCTTCAATACGATGATGGTGGTGAAGAGTTTTACAAAACCCTTCAGGAGTAATTGTCAGTGGGGCTCACCCTCATCTTGGCATTAAGGAGAGCAAAAAATGGGCTGCCATAAAGCAAGGCGACGCTTTGTGTTCACTCTGCCACACAGGCCCGCTTGCTGCCACTGCTCTGCCCTCTACTGAAGCAGCAGGGGGGCGCTCACCAGAGGCCAAATGTCCAGCACTCAGCAAAAATCAAACTCATCTTTATAAGATGACTAAGAGGCACTATCAGCAGCATTCAATATTCAAATGGACAGAATGGTCCCCCTTGCCCAAATCCACCATTTGAATTCCCAGACCTCAGTGGGACAATATGAATTGACAAGGCTTTGGGAACTGACTGGGTCACGAAAGTGGGGATCTCATGAACAGAATGAATGCTCTTTTCTTTTTCTTTTTCCTTTTTTAGTTGGTCGTGGGGCCTGAACTCTGAGCCTGGGCACTGTCCCTCAGCTCTTCAGCTCAAGGCAAGTGCTCTATCTACCACTTGAGCCACAGCTCCACTTCCAGCTTTTTCTGGTTATGTGGTGCTGAGGAATCCAACCCACAGCCTCATGCATGCAAGGTAAGCACTCTACCACTGAGCCACCTTCCCAACCCATGAATGTTCTTTTCTTATGAAGAGACTCTCGAGGGCTTTCCTGCATCCTTCTTCAATGTCAGGACACAAAGAGAAGGAGCAGTCTGCAATCCAGGAGTCTCTTCACCAGACCCAGCCATGCTGCCCCCATGGTTCAGTATCCAGAAACTATGAGGAGGGAATTTCTGCTGGCTATCCGTCTCTCAGTCTGCGGCACTTGGTTACAGCAACCCAAATGGAGAGAAACAGACACAACCACTCCATCATCTTTCTTCTCTTGCCATCCTGGGCTCTAGACATTCCCTCTTGCTAGGCATTTCTCAGTCTACTTGGCTCTTTCCATTTCATCTCCCTTGCTTATCAAGTTGAGGGCTATTGGTAGAACTCTTCTCTATCATTTCTTTGATGAACTACTCACGGGGGCATCTGATTTGGTGTTTTCTATACTGGCTTTCTGCACGAAACCCTCACATTACCATGAATTGAAAAAATGAATGTCCTGAAATCAAAACTCATGATCTAACTATTCACGAATCATCTCTGCCAGGCTCTCTCGACCTGACACCCCAGACTTTCCTTGTTTTGATCCAACTCCATGATTTCCGCCTAAAGTTGTTTCTCTCACACTTTTCCAAATCTCAGTAAAGGATAAAGGTCAGCTTTTCAATTATTCAGACAGAAAACTTTGGGCTCACCCTCTCCACATCAGCCAGATCATGCTACAGCCACCAGGCTGGGAAACCCCCGCACTGGGGTCCCGCTCACGCCTCTGGTCTCTCTACCTCTCCTGTCTCCTCCTCTCCCTACTCTGTTCCCACACACTAGCCAGCGTGAGTCTTCTAAGCACACGTCAGGTAATTTTGGCAAACATCTTCCATTCATATCCACTCAAAATCTCCCAAACACTTAGCTAACAGAGTAAAAACCAAACCAAAACAAAACAGAAGTTCTTGCAAAGTAGTCATTTGTGACTTCCTGGAATCTATCTTCTTTTCCTTTCCCCTTCATTCACGATGACTCTGACAGCCACGTGTGGTGCATCCGGTGTCATGACTTTTGCCCTCACGTTGCACCCAGAACGGAACTCCTTAGTTCTTTACTCCAATGTGGCAGCCCCAGAGAAACTTTCCACGATTATCGTCCTTAAAATCTGCAGCACCCTCCTCCCTCCATGCCCCGCACGCCCCCTCACCCTTTCTCCACATGATGTATCACTG